TTGATGCACACGGCAATGAAAATCATCGTGACATGTGAGCTGTGGCCGTCCAATATCGGCAGCCATCGTTTCCCGTGGGCCTTACCCAGAGTTTCTGTCCGCAATGCCATCAACACGTCGCACGCGTGTTTAAAGAATGGAATTGCTCGGCCCCATTTGTTCCAGAAACAAAGTTGTAGAGGCTTCCGACGTAAGAATCTACTGAAGACAATCGATCAAGGCCGGATGTGTGATAATATTGAGAAACGAGTGAAAAATATCCACAAAAGTTCTTTCCTGGTAACTAGGCTTGTACTCTTAGTGGATGTCTTGATTCGCCGAGGATAATTTAGCGTCGGTGACATCGGCAGCGGAAGGGCGAGAAATTTTGGCCAATGTACAATGCAGAAATTCGATATGATTGGGGTTTACGGCACATATTCGGTCTTGGAACGTTTCTATACCCACAAGCTGCAGTTTGCAGAAGATAATCCTTTCATTGCTTGTAGCAAGCCAGCTTGCTACTGTTGCCTCTTATACTTCCGAAACCATCCTGGTCATTTTGTCGAGCCCGCATCGCACAACAAGATCTATCTAAGTCAGCGACCGCCTGATATCAGCATGCCAAATTGTCGCACGGTTGGGTGCGGGGGTTGCAGGTATAGGATCTCGAGAAGAGTGTGTATGTTGTATTGTTTTAGCATCATAGCTGAGCTTATATTCAGGTCCTTGCGCGGCACGATTAGTAACACAGTTTAGGTTCACGACAGCGCTTGGCCTGCGACACAAATTCTATCATCAACACGAACCATCGGCGTGGCTTTCTCAATAGTATGGCTCGAGAGATCCAGATGCGGGCGTTGTGGCGAATTCAAGAGAAGACTGCGCCTCAAACGTGGCATCCAGACTCGCTTACAGAGATCACGCAGTCTGCTAGGCACGAGCTGGATCAAGACTATGCCAATAAACAGAATGCCTCTGTGCATGTAGCGAGCGAGACGATGGTCGCGAAGACTAGCGCTGATTGACGGCTGCTGAGATTTGTCCCCAAGCTTTTGAGATTTGTCCCCAAGATGAGATTTGTCCCCAACGCTAACCAGATTCTTACTAGGCCCAAATAGATTACAGTATTCTATTCACCCGGACATAGGTACGTGTGAAGGGAGGCTGCACTTAAATCATGCATGTTACTAAATGTCAAATACTCGCACTGTAGGCTGTCAAATACTCGCACTGTAGGCAGAGTACGGAAAAGTCACAGTAGGGCAAGGTATACTGTGTGTAGAGTAGATTGATTGATTTTTTTGTTTGTTGTTCTGATCTGATAATTCTACAGTCTCATTTTGAGGTGGTTGTGGCTCTGGATACGCGAGGTCGTACAAACCCCTTGGCTTGATCCTTTTCACAATCCTCACCCTGGCCGGGCCAGGGCCTGATATCTGACACTAAACTTATTATCTACTCACGCCGTCGCTTCCTACGTGGTCCAAGGCTTTTCCAGGCTTCTGGAGCCGCCACTGCTGCGGCGCGCTTAGGTCGCGGCGTAGGTACATCTACAGGCTCAGCAAGTGCATCTTGAGCATCAACCTGTGCAAATCTCTCAGCATAGAAAGCCTCCATGTCTCCAAAATAATAGTTCCACGCCATAGTTAGTGTGCAGGGAGCGAAGAGTCCTTATGTGGCGAGAGCCATGTTCCGCGCTTCTACTAGCTCTGCAGGATCATCTTCCTGACCTGTCTCTGTCAGGAAATTAGTAGCTGCCATCATATCGTTGCACTGATACAGGACAGGTTGAGGCTGTCGATTCTCAATGTCAGTCAGGAACTCCTCTAGTGTTGGAGGCCGCCAGCCAGGAGACGGAGCCACGGTCACTGACACAGCAACGGCTACAGGCGGGGACGAACGGAGAGAAGTTGGTGGAGGCAACGGAGCGGGCGCAGGTATCGAAACAGATATGCAGGTGGTCACAGGACTCGCACCTGGTACAGAGGTTGGAACCGAGACTGTGACAGAGGTGCTGACTTGCTGCAGAGCTTCTGCAAGTGTTTGACTCTCGTGTTGATAGTAAGGCTGAAAGTGAGGTACAGAAGGCGGTACATGCCGTTCGAAAGCTGAGGGGTCTCGGCGAGTTGATGCTTCATTTCTCCTTGGCGCACCTCTTGTTTGAGCTGTAAGGGGCTCCAGAACAGACTGGTACGGCCTAGGGGATATAAATACCGAAGGTCCTTGCTCGCGTTGATAGCGCCAATGATCGTCATAGAGATGGTTCAATCGTAACGTAGATCTAGCAGCCATCACTTCTTGCAGCGTATGGCGGCATGGAAGCCCGTTCGTTTTCTCGAAGAGGCCTGAACAAGGATGTCCGCCGCGACGCTGTTGTTGCTCTTTCTGGCGAAGCAAGTCTTGTTGCCTGATGCGCTCAATAGCCGGTGGAGTAAGGACATCATGGATCCCAGGAGGCAGGAAGGGCATGGACTCGAGCTTGTGCCTGAACTTGGTGCTGTGTCTAGAGGAAGCAATCTCCTTTCTGTACCTGTTGTATTGACTCTTGACCATCTGCTCGATCCTCCCGACGACACGAAGCAAGTCGCCTGTTGAAGTCATCAGATAGTCTTTCAGGACCTTGTGCATTCCTTCGACAGGTGAGCTTGTGATTGTGTTGTAGTGTCGGTAATAAGAAGTCCAGGCCGCTGCCCACTCCTTGCGTGTTTGGTATTGATTCTCCTGCAGGTACCTGCAAAGCTCCGGCTGGTGACTGTAGTCATTAAGCAAATCGTCCCACTTGAACCGGAACTCTAACGGCCTCTTTGCGTAGACAAGCTGCTATAGTTAGCTTGAAGTTGTTTAAACTGTACAAGAGCTGCTTTGAAGTGCTCTTAGCGTTGAGCGTCAGCGTACCTGAGCCCAACGTTTCATGAATGAAGCCCTTTGCTCAGCAATTCTCCGTTTCTCTTCTTTCGTCGTGCCATCGGCGTCTCGCCAGGTCTGTTGCGCTTTCGTCTGAACGTTCTTGTTGATATGCCATACACACAAGAGTTGAGGAACTCCTGGGAGCAGTGCGCGTGCTGACATCTTCAATGCTTCTTCCTGGTCGCTAATAAACACACGTGGCTGTTGCACGCCAGTCTTACGGAGGAAGTTCGCGATCGCCCAATAGTAGTCTGCATGCGTCTCGCTGCTAAGAAAGCAGAAGCCTGCAGAGAAGAACGTCTGTAGATTGGTACAGCCGAGTATGTGCAGTAGAGGGAGTCTGTACTTGTTGGTTCGGTAAGTGCAGTCCATCAGTAGGACGTCAGGGTTTGCCAGCAGAAGCTCGACTTGCTTCTGGTGGGCGAAGAAGAGGTTCTGAATGCAATTGTTGTCGTCCTTCTTAACAGTGAAGACCCAGTCTGTCGAGGACAAGTCGTCTAGCAGTGTCTCCACTGGGCTTCTTCCATTAAGATGCTTTCCTCTAATAGCCTTCCTCTCGCTGCGGACATCAGTCGCAGTTATTAGTGTGTCCGGATCCTCTCTCTGGATGGCAGCTAGTATCTGCATGGGCCGCACACCCGCATGAGTCATTGATTCTATCACTTCCTTCTGTGCGGGTGTACGCCTGCGGTAGACATTGTGCGCGCTCGAGTTGATTGACCGGGGATGGTTGTGGTCCTTGTTCTGTACTTCTAGCTTCCATCGATCGCTGTGCTTGGTCCTGAAGATGACAAGCTTGAAAGGACACCCAGTAGAGCGTGTGCTTGTGCTTAGAGTCTTTGCACTGGACTGATAGTTGTGTCGAAAGCGATCGCAGTGATAGTAGTAGCGTGTCCTGACAGTTGAATTGTGAGGCCAACTTCGCTTGAGGACGAAGCCGTAGCTATGCTGCATGCCATGGGTCTTGAGCGCTTCATACGCTTCTTCATATGAGCTGTAGAGCAGGTCTAGTGGGGAGGTTATGTCCTCCATGCTAAGAATGCAAAGTGAATTGACAGGCCCGCATCGATCTTCTTTGTCATTGATCTGTTGCAGAGACGCGCTGATGTCGCGACAATTTCGTGTTGATGAATCACACGCTAAGCCATGTTGAGTGATTAATTTCCGCTATATTAGCGTTGGGGACAAATCTCATCTTGGGGACAAATCTCAAAAGCTTGGGGACAAATCTCAGCAGCCGGACCGGAAACCGATTGTGACCGTCACTGTATGGCAGCCCTGTACGGTCGCTTGCAGTTGCGGTTTCCACTTTCCGTAAGCCACTCTTCTTTCATTCCACCTCGCCATGTCTTGTTTATGCTTAACATTCCGTCAGCAAACCATTAGTTCGGACCCGCCAAAATCCGGGATAAGTCAGTGTCTTTTTCGCATGTGTGGTCCTTGAAGACAATGCTGACACACAATGAGCTTCTCTGTGTCAGCATCCCGTGCGATCGGAGATGGTACGGCTCGCAACAACCTCTCGCAGAAGTATGCTCAGGCACATTGCAAATCGTTCCTGAAAGATTACAGTATTTACCTCTACTGGCTCAGTCACTACATGTTTCATAGAGTACCTAGCCATACGCCTAAAATTGATTCGCGTCGATCGTGACAGCTCGTCGTTTCATAAGTTCAGAGCCCTGTTGCTGTAGCTTCGGTGTGCCGACCGTTACCATGACTCGACTGCAGCCACACATATTCTTCTATGCAGTTATCACGACCGTGATCGCGCACTCGTGGCTCGGGTGCACAGATCAAGACAGCCACCAGATTCTGCAATGGATGAAGGGTAACGCTATCAACTACAGAGCGCCCGGTGACCTGTACACTGATACCTTGTAAATACAAAGTATCATGAAGCTGTGACTTGTTGCTAACGGTACTGAAGTGACCCCGGGCTAGCAGTATACTGCAAAGGCTGGCCTCGAGCAAAGCACAATCCGGGTAATTGGATCGAAGAATCTAGCAGTTACGTTTGGGATATCGCTTTACATTCTGCCAGCGGTGACACACACGCCTGCCATCCCTTATAGCGCACTCCCAACTACTTCACTTCTGAGAATGCCAATATGGCAAGCGCGGTCCCCGGAGGGCAGATCCAACTCATGTTTGGCGGTAATGGGCACTCGCGCGGAGCCAACGTAGACGGCAAAGGAGCAGGTGTGGTGTCTGTGTACTGGAAAGGAGGGAAAGAGAAAGAGATAGAAGACATAGCAGAGTTGACCAGCAAACACAGATTGCGACAGATAGGGTTTGCTGACGAGGCTTTTGTGTGGCCCAAGGATGATCGGGTCAAAGATCCAAAAGAAGGCCTGCTCGACAAAGGGAACTGGATGACTATTCAGATGCCAGACCACATGGAGAAGGGAAGACACATGTTCGTTTGGGTATGGGAGTACGGCGGAAAGCCGAGGTGGAGCACTTGTTTCGATGTCATGATTCACTGAACAAGTGGCAATGAGATTGTGGAAGTAAACCGCGCGCCTTCTCTGCACTTTCACTTTGTCCATTTTGCGATTGCTTCGAAGCAACTATAGATAACTAACTATAGCTCTACACTGCTATGATTTATTAGATGGGTGGTGTATAACACTCATACTTGAAGGTAATTAGAGAGATACGATGGCGACAGCCAGAAAAGACAAAACTCTGGTCAACCAGGAGCGCTAACTACAGCCTTTGTAAGGGAATCGGAGTCCGCGTGTCATCCACTCGCTGTATTGTTTCCATCTAAAGCTTCGTTATTTACTTGGCGCCAATGGCATCAACCACGATCCTTAATAACACCACGCCCACACAGGCACAGCTCGTGAGTAAACAGGCCAGCGGAAAGTGACAGTCAGCGATGCAATGACCGAGACCCCTGCGGCTATGGACGAAGAACTAGACTACAAGAGCACATCGAAGAGACCAGCCCGTTATGCAATGGGTATTGTAGCTCCTTGCTGATCTATGTACACCGCGACGTACAGCACGCCAGACTGAATCCTGATCGCACAGGAAAGAAAGCTATCACCATCGCATCTAGGTGCATATTGAAACACAGCAGCACCAAATAAGTACGACTCTGGAGTTTCGAGCCAATACAATAACCACTGTATCGACAGGAAGGGGTGGAAGGGTGTGATGATTGAATCATGCAAGGATGACATCAGCAAGCCGGGAGTGGAGCACGCTACAAGCATCGAAACAGACTTTGAAGCTGAGCACAACCACCGTAGGATCGAGGTCGACTGAAACAAGGTGAAAGTCAGAAGGATGGTCCTGCTGTATACTCACGCGTCGGTAACTAATTACTAGAGATAATTCCTGACAATCTATTTCGTATCGCTTGAGCTTTTCAATGCTTATGATGCATACAGCCTGGTGTTTTATCAAGCCAGTCGCTTACTTGCATCTAACAGCTGTGATTACTGCTCGTCAAGTTCTATAAAGGCAGACGAGGACTGCCGATTCACGCAACATGGCCAGTTGCCATCATGCCGAAGAGATATAGATCAGAAAACGAACATGCTGCAATAGTCCAGGATCTGAGACGATCCAAGAGTCTCTTTGAACACTACAAATCGCCAGCCTGGATATCTGAGCTCAACAAAGTTGTTGAATTCGACCCTTGCACATTGAATATTAAGGTCGAGCCTAACGTAACGATGCTTGATTTGGTAGAGACCACAATGCAGTTTGGTTTTCTACCAGCAGTTGTTGCTGACTGCAGAGACACGACGGTTGCCAGTGCTTTTGCGGCTCAGTCCAGCGCATCCTCATCCTTTGCGTTTGGCACATTTGATGACACCGTGGTAGAGATCGAGATGATCTTGCATGATCGCGAGATTGTCTGTGTGCGACCAGACAAGCCGTGGAATCGAGACCAGTTCTATGGTAGTGCTTACCCTACCTTCCGTTCTGGGGTGATAACTATGTTCGAGATACGTCTGGTCGTGTCAGGCCCTTGCGTGGAGCTTGAAACCCAGCTTTGGACTAGATTTTCGGAAGCAGAGAACGCGGCACAGAATCCCTTAGGGTCAGCTTCGAGGTCGTCATTGGCCGCTTATCTCTCTACCCTGGAACAAAAGCTGGAGATTGGGGCCAGTCAGAACCGACAAGCAGTACAACGAGTATTCAGAGAAGTAGAATGTCTATAAGAAGCACTGCTGACTACGTCTTCCGTCACGAGAAGCTCTGTCGCGACGTCGTACATTCGCATACCGCGGCTGCCGACTTCTCCGAGCGAGAGCCTCTTGGTTCTCTTCGCACCGCCGACAACGCTATATTTCGAGACTTCGGAATCCTATCCAGCCTTGCTCAGCGACTTGTACAGCATTGCTCAGCGACTTGTACAGCAGATGACTTTGTCACAAGCTCCTATTCAGATGTGGCTGTATCCGACCCTGAGTCCAGAGGCGATGGGGCGCCGGCTCCGTGTCGGTATCATTTGTGCACCCCACTACGGCGTCGACATCTCCGGGCCAGCGTCATTTTGTTGCATTAACATGGCCCATGATATAGATCTACTGCGCACGAGCACCCCCTCAGCGTTGCGGTTCCTGAACGACAACGTGCCTTGCAAGAAAGGAACGACATGGTTTGCTCGTGCTCATTTGATGAGCAAGGATACAGCTTCACCCCGTGACGGAACTAATCGCCGTAGAGTACGCTCTCGTATGCTGTCAAATCGAGATTTTTCCACGTAATGACTATCTCAATACCTGGATGTTGATCCTCTACCAAAGTACGTAATCTGGTAACAGCGCGATCCTGGGCCTCAAGGACTTTCTGCTCGTTCAGATCTAAGCTCCAACTTCTCAACATGATGGTGATCTCGATCCGCCTTAGGCCATCCAAACCCCAGCCGCCCATGTTTGGTACCTCCATCCAGAAGATGGGACTAACCTCTAAGCCTTCCGCGCCTTGAAGAATATAGCTGCGTTGGTGGCGCTTGACAGAGGTTACTGCTTCACGCTGGATATGCAAGAGCTTGAAGAGGAGCTCCTTCAAATGGCCGCTGTGGCGACCCTAGAATGTACCGCAATGATACGGAACGAGTGAAGCTTCGTTGTGAATTTGACGATTGACTCTAAGCAGAGCCAGGGCATACTTAGCCCTGTTGTCTGCACATGGCCTGGCTGAACTTGCATTGATTAACCATGTCTTACCGCCAAGTACCCGATGAAAGATCATCTCGCGGAGCTCTAGAGGCAGACTGAGAAGAGGTGAGTCTTTATGGGAAGAGGGGAAGCTGCGACGGTCAGACTGGGCGCACAGTTGAAAGTCGTGTGCACGTACGCGGCAAGAGCAGTCGGCTTTTTCATACTTACAGTTCGTAAGACTACTCGATACAGAGCTAGGAAACTGCTTCGAGAGCTCTTGGGAGTGAGCAAGTGTTCAAATTCGCGCATGCACCGGCTTTTTGACAGGGAAAAGAAAAGTATCAGTGGATTGAAGAGTAGGCCCGCAAAAACGCTTATCTACACGCTATAAGGTGATCGCACCCTGTAGTGGGATCGCAGTGGTTCTGGGAAAGATTTCTTTCTTTGTCACCGTCATCAAGATCGCTCATGAGCTACCATCGAGCTAGCATGTGCAGGGATGCTAAGACCGGAGGTCTCGCAGCTGCATGCTTGCTGAGCCTCACACGATTGTCAAACTCGACACTCTACTTTTTCACGCTAGCAAAAGGAGCCTCCGTTTTCTGCTTATATGACAATAATGTTATTTCGCCAGTGTGCAGTGATGCACTGACCGCGATGGGCTTGTGCAGGTTTGTCTCCAACCGCTGAGAGCGCACAAATCGACCTAAATCTTACACTATGGACGTTCAAAGAGCAGCGCTTCGCAAATCAATAGGAGCAGTGGGTCTTGCTCTTACATTGAAAGGCTTAACGTTAGTAACGTCGATCCATACATGGCGCAAATCACCGTGTGCCGCAATTGACCAATCAACTTCCGCAAATGATGGTGAAAATTGAAGATCTCGAGAGTTGATTGGTCGGTTGCGGCACACGGTGATTTGCGCCATGCATGGATGTACGTTATGATTGTTTCCATGAGAGTGCAATCCGAGTCGTTTCGACAAAGTACAATGACGGTCACAATTGGTTTCCGGTTCTTGCATCAGCATTATTCTCAGCGCACGGTCCGCCCAACAAAAGCCTTGCCCGACTAGTATTAGTATTTGACATGGGTTATGCTGCTCTGGAATCTGGATGTGCATAGCACGACGAAACAGAGATATCGTAAGCTAAGACTGAGGAATCAAAAGTGGAACATGCACTTGATTGGTTAAATGGTGTCTATTCCGGAGCGTGGGCTTGTGATTGAGTCTCAACGGTCTCTCCAAGATGGGCCGGCAGAAGACCCTGTACAGTAGGACGCTAAGTACTGTTTGGTAAGACCCATCTCGGATAACCGTGCGCTGAGACCAAATGCTGATGCAAGAACCGGAAACCAATTATGACCGTCACTACACAAGAGCAAGAGTTGTCGATAGAACTGTGCATAATGTGGCGGGAGCTACTAGCCGCTTCATACTGGTTATGCTACGTTGTGTTAGGATTTAAAACGAATTTTGAAATCTAATTTCCAGCAACGATCTTTGGTTTACTCCTGACTGCCTCATATTCACACATTCAGAGCGATAAAGTAATATACAGCAGCCGAGCCGCTCCAGATCTATCTACCAAACAATGAACATCCCGAACGGAGGGTTAGCCCCCGCTGCTACGATTCCCAATAAGGTATTCACACCCAGATGTTCACATCAAAGGGAGTCAAGTAACGTATCCAAGCCACAAGTAGATGAAGTGGCCGTCGTGGGCTTATCATGTCGGACAGCCGGTGGCAACGATACCCCTGAGAAGCTCTGGGAATTCCTCTTGCGCAAAGGAAATGCTTCGGGCGAGATTCCAGCGAAACGGTGGAAACCTTGGCGGGATCGAGATCCTCGTAACGCAAAGATCCTAGATAACATCGTCCGCAAAGGGTACTTTCTAGATGATCTAGAGGGATTCGACGCAGCTTTCTTCGGCATCTCGCCCAAAGAGGCTGAGCTCATGGATCCACATCAGCGCCTCGGTCTGGAGCTTGCATGGGAGGCTCTGGAAAATGCTGGCATCAATCCGAAAAGTCTTAGTGGAAGCGACACGGCCGTTTACATGGGTATTGACTCAGACGACTACTCTCGCATGCTGATGGAGGATTTGCCATCTATCGAGGCATGGACTGGCATTGGCACTGCACACCACGGCGTCCCTAACCGGATCTCTTATCATCTTGGCCTACAGGGCCCAAGCACGGCAGTCGATGCAGCATGTGCAAGCTCACTTATTGCCATACATCTTGCTAGCCAGGCCGTTGAATATGGCGAGAGCAATATCGCTATATGCGGTGGTGTGAATGTCATCTGCGCACCTGGTCTCACACACATGCTCCAGAAAGCAGGCGCACTAAGCCAGGATGGTGTTTGTCGCTCTTTCGACGACGCTGCATGTGGCTATGCTCGTGGCGAAGGCGGTGCCGTTGTAGTGCTGAAGCGTCTGAGCGCCGCAATAGAAGACGACGATCACATCCTGGCCGTCATGAAGAGCTCCGCATCTGCACAGGATGGCAAGACTAACGGAATCATGGCACCCAGTGCAGCCGCACAAGAGCTCGTTGCAAGGCAAGCCCTTCTGCGGGCAGGCGGCATCGACCCTCACACAGTTGACTTTGTGGAAGCACACGCTACATCAACATCGCTTGGGGATCTGACAGAAATCGATGCCATCTCTCGAGTTTACGGCGCAGGGCGATCCTCTGACTCTCCTTGCTACGTTGGCTCCATCAAACCTAACATCGGACATCTTGAGGCAGCAGCTGGTGCAATTGGCTTTGTGAAGGCTGTTCTCAGCGTACAGAAGGGCGTTATTGCTCCACAAGCACTGCTGGAAAAGCCCAACACGAGGATCGACTGGGAGAGTAGCGGAATCGACGTCAGTAAAGAGGCAAGAAAATGGCCTGAACGCGACATTCGGAGGGCAGCTGTATGCTGTTATGGATACGGCGGCTCGGTTTGTCATGCTATCCTTGAGCAAGCGCCTACCCGATCGGGCTGTAGCCTTCCGACGGGTCAGCAGTCGGCTATCACGCTCATCATTTCTGCTGTGCAGGAGAAGCGCCTGCCCGCCATTGCTGCTTCTTTAGCCCACTGGCTGTCGGCCAATAGGGCCTCTACAGATCTCAACGCTGTGGCGCGAACGCTTGCTCAGCGCCGTGCTGCACACAGGCACCGCACGTCGTTCGTAGTTTTCAACTTTGACGACGCTATTCGCAGCTTGACTGCCTTTTCAAAAGGCAAGATGAACGAATGGGCTGCAACGAGTCGGGTCCTCGATAATGCTATCGCGAGAGGCGTAGTCTGGGTCTTCTCGGGCCATGGAGCACAGTGGTCGGACATGGGGATAGAACTCTTGCACAACCCTGTGTTCTATGACAAACTCTGTTCTTTGGACTCTATCGTTCGTAAAGAAGCAGGGTTCTCCATCATTGAGGTTCTGCAAGAGAGCGACTTACACGACTCGTGGAGAATACAAATCCTTACATATGCCATGCAAATTGGTCTTGTGGCACTGCTGAGGTCGAAGGGGGTCGCACCACAAGCTATTATTGGCCACTCTGTTGGCGAGATCGCAGCTGCTGTTGCTGGTGGCTGTCTATCGGAGAGAGAAGGTGCAATCATCGTTTCCAGGCGAGCGAAGCTTTGCGCTCAAGTACAAGGCCAAGGTGCGATGGTTCTCGTTGCTCTTCCCTTTGAGATAGCTGCACAGCAGCTTGCTGAGAGAAGCGATATTGTTGCTGCAATCCGGTCTTCGCCATCAACATGCGTCGTGAGTGGTACGATCGGAGCTGTTGAGTGGTACCTCGAACAACTCAAGAAAGAAAAAGTAAAGGTTTGGAAGATCGGAACAGATATTAGCTTCCATTCTCCTATACTTGGGCAGTTTGTTCCCGCGCTGCGAGAACAGTTAAGTCAGGAAACCGACCCACAGCTAGCAAAGATGCAGATCTACTCAAGCTCCGCTCTACACCCACGCACTACATCACTTCGTGATGTCGATTATTGGATTAGAAATATGGTCGGTCCCGTTTGGTTTGTTGATGCAGTAGAAGCTGCAGTGGAAGACGGTTTTCGTGTCTTCATGGAAGTCTCCACTCACCCTATAGTCTCGCACTCCATCTCCGAGACGCTCTCTGTTCGATCGGTCGGAGATTCTGCGGCTTTCGGCACAATGAAGAAGGGCAAATCAGCCGAGCTCTGCATATCTAGAGCCATCTCCCAACTGTACACTCTTGGTGTAGAGATCGACTTTAAAGCATTCATGGGAGCGAGCCCTTGGTCAAATGCAGTACCGACTACGCTCTGGGTGCACAAGCCTTACTGGAAGACTATAGACATGGGATCTGGCAATGCCGTCCAGCACGACGTAGAGACGCACACGGTACTTGGTGGTCTTATGGACATCGCAGGCAGCATAGTAAAGGTGTGGACTACGGTACTGGACGACACGACCAAGCCATACCCTCTCAGTCACCCACTTGATGGGACTGAGATCATCCCTGCTGCCGTGTACTGCAATACCTTCCAACGAGCCACAGGTGCAACCAGGCTCGATGACGTAGAGCTCCGCGTGCCAATCCCAATAACAGACGACACACGTGAGCTGCAGGTGATTGTCGAAGAGAATGAAGTGCGTACGGCTTCTCGACTCAGGAAAAAGAACAATAATGGTGGTAACAAACAGCACGCGTGGATCGAGCACAGTCGGGCCGCCTTTACCACAGCTGACGTGGAAGTTCATCAGCAGACCCTGTCAATTGCCGAGTTACGGGCGAAGATCGGCAAACAGTTGCCCAAAAGCTTCGCATGGGACTACCTTCAGAAAATTGGAGTATCTGGTATCGCATTTCCATGGGCTATACTTGAGCACTTTGGGGACGAGAAGCAAATGCTTGTCGAGATGGACATGAATCCGGAAGTTCAGACATTGACCTGGGATCCAGGAAGCTGGGCACCTTTCCTTGATGCCGCTACATCCGTGGGCTCATCTATATTCTTCAAGAGTTTACACATGCGCATCGTCAGCAGGATCGACCAGGTTCTTTTCCTATCCAAGGCTGCACCACCTAAGGCCGGCTACTTACTCATCGAAAACACTTCCGTAGGCGACCACTCGAAAGCTGATATCAGTGTTGTCAGCACGGCGGGAGAAATTCTGATCAAAATCAAAGGTATGCGGTTTTCTAATGTCGAGGCAGTAAGAGAAAAAGAGAATGGCAGAGACTCTCTTGTGCACCGTTTGGCGTGGGTGCCACCGAAGTTCTCTGAAAAGTCGCTGTTGATGGACAAAGTCGTTATTGTGTCGACAGTTCGTCAAGTTACAGACAACTATGTCAGCACCTTGGAGGTCTGTACTAAAAGCGTAGCCACAATCCCTTCTGCTGCGTGTATGAAGAGCCCTGCTATCTGGAGCACCCTGCAAGGAAGGAATACAGTGGTCGTCTATGTGCCTGGCACCGTTGAGCACATCGACGACGTAGCAAGCAAGGCGCACGCTTTCACGTGCGAAGTTGCCGCCATCCTGGCCATCCTCACAGATAGCCGAAGCGTATCGAAGCTGTTTGTCGTCCTTGATGGCGCATACAAGGGCCAATCACCTACCTGTCTTGCGCAGTACCCGCTGTATGGCTTTGCTCGAATCGCCGCGTCGGAGTACCCGGATCTGTGGGGTGGGCTGATTGATAATGAAGGGTCAGCATTTCCTCTTCTGGCGGTGAAATATGTCAAAGAGCAAAGTGTATTACGCATGCAGGATGGTCTGCCACGGGTACCACGTCTGCGACCATTTGCTCACAGAGAACAGCAGAATGACCGAAAACAAAGCTTACTTCCTCAACCACACGGAACCTACCTAGTTACTGGTGGCTTTGGCGATCTTGGTTTGGAGATTCTTGATTTTCTCGTACAACATGGCGCTCGCAGGGTCGTGGTGGTTTCCCGACGTACCTTACTCCCGCGCAGAGAGTGGCCAGCTGCTACTGGACCCATGGCATCAGTTGTCAATAGACTGGTGAAACTCGAGGGTCTAGGCGCTTCCATCTATGCCCTGCAGCTTGACATTGGCTCTACGTCTGCGTCGGATCATCTCGTCGCGGCGCTCAACGCTTTGTCCCTCCCGCCTGTGCTAGGGATAGTCCATGCCGCTGGTGTCTCTGGGTATGGTTACATCAAGACCGCCACATCCGCCTCGTATGCGTCCGTGATGAGTCCAAAAATCCAGGGCGCGCTGAATCTACATAGAGCGTTCCCTCCAAGGTCGCTTGACTTCTTTGTCCTGTTCTCCTCGATTGGACAAATCATCGGCACACCTGGGCAGTCAGCATACGCAACGTCCAATGCATTTCTCGATGGTTTGGCAACGCATCGCCGCTCTCTAGGCTGCAATACTATCGCGATCCAATGGACCGCCTGGAGGGCGCTAGGATTAGCGAAAGACACCGCGCTCGTGGACCTCGAACTGCATAGCAAGGGTGTCACAGATATCACCGTCGAGGAAGCTTACCAAGCATGGACCTACCTTTCTGGTGTCGATACAGATCATGCAGTCGTCACAAAGATCCGATGCCTTGAACACGACGAGTCATTGCCGTGTGAGCTTATCCAAGACGTGGTGCAGCGCCGCGCCGCGCCAGCTGGATCAAAATATCTTCCCCTTCCAACGGCTGCAGCGGTAGCGAGACCCAAGCTCGGTCCTGAGCTCAAAGCACACCTCAATGTAGAGATCAAGGCGTGTCTGTCCCATGTTCTAGGTTTGGATGTCGAGGAAATTGAGGACCATGCGGCAGTTACGGAATTAGGCGTGGATTCAATTATCACTGTTGCACTAAGACAGAAACTCGAGAAGGTGACGGGCGTGAAAGTTTCGCCAACCTTGATCTGGAGTCACCCAACCATTGCGCAAATGGTGGACTGGTTCTATTGTAGAATAAGTTAGCGCGGGATGGGCGAGCGGAGCCTAGTCGCAAGGCCGTGATCGAGCGGACGGATGCTCAATGGCAGTACACAATCATGCAAACTGCACGACCGTCTCACTTTCATTTGGAATGTTGTACAGAGCCAGGAATTAAGGTCCGTCCCTAGGTGCCGAGACGCACGGTGTAATGAGACAGGTTCGTACTCCGGGCCTTCGGAGCCTCTTATTCACTCATTGACAGACCTTGCATTTATATGCAGCGTTGTCCATTTACCTCTTCACCAGTCTCTTTGTCTCCGAGAATGAGTGCTGTCGTGCTGGCCCTGCTGTTGATGGCTTCGTCAACACCGTGAATCGACCCTTCGTCAGTGCCCCCCTGTCCATTCATGGCCGAGGGGATGTCTGTGAGGATCGGAGGGGTCAGAAGAAAGCGAAGTCGAGAAAGATTGTATTCCTGGGCATCAGAAGCCCTTTTGACTGAAAAATTGTGCAGTCCGGCAGTTTCGCCGATCAGGAGACAGGATTGCTGATTGCAACCCGGCAGCTTGGAACACGCTAGCTTCGCTTGCTGTGCGGAGGGCTGCATTAGCGTGGATAACAGCTGCTGTAAGATACGGTACTGAATAAGACGCTATACCCACTGCGAGCCGGCCGCTGAGACGATCTGTGGCGCACGTTGGCGGCTTTTTGCTTGTCTGCGAATGATTCATCAGTCTTGTTGCTGCACCGTGGCCTCAATATCAGCGCTGAGCCGCGCTGCCCATAGACGTCTCAACGCACTCACCGCCGTCTGTGGCCGGGCACCTCGTGATCGTAACAAACGAGATGATTTGAGCTAGTAGATGCTGGATGATGAGAAGTGCATCGCTATGGGGGGCGTGGTCATCGCGTAGATGCGACTTGTTGGGGCTGTGCTGGGCCTGCATGAGCGCGCTCAGCCGCGTCTCCTCCCGCCTTCAGACCGTTTGAACATCCTCAGAGCTCAGAACATGCTGCGAAACACAAGCTTCAGCCTACAAAAGTAAGACCACTCCTTCAACCGTGTAGCTACCTGGGGCTTTGTAGCCATTCGTACCCTTCTCCGTAAGCTCGTCTTAGGGAGCCAACCGCCGCACTCTCGTCCTACCAGGCTGCCGCGTCGAGCCTCTCGCATCCTCTCACCGCATGCGCCTGCGACGCATACCTCGAACCGATGCGTCTTTTGCGCTACGACGAACACGGTGAGCTTGGCATCGTCAGCTTCGACGATCGCGCAACACCGCCTTATGCGATACTGTCACACACATGGGGAGAGGATGCGGAGGAGGTGACTTTCGCAGACCTTGCGACAGGCGACGGCAAGGCCAAGCGTGGCTACAAGAAGATTCGCTTCTGCGGACAGCAAGCACGGCAAGACGGCCTACAGTACTTCTGGATCGACACGTGCTGCATCGACAAGACCAAAAAGGCTGAGCTCGCCTTGTCCATCAGGTCGATGTTTCACTGGTACCGCAATGCAGCTCGGTGTTATGTATATTTGTCTGATGTCTCTAACCAACCTCTACTGGTAACGCCAGGCCACCACGATTCACGATGGTTTCTTTGGATCTGGACACTCTCTGTTCTCTATACACTGTCGAGATGGTACAGCAGCGTGATGCATCGCTACTTCTATTCGCGCCATGTAGCACGCACTCCAGTTGGTAGCGGTGTTGTGCGCAGCAAGCAGACGCCTGAGTTCACGATTAAAGAAAGCAGATGGTTTACCCGTGGATGGACACTGCAGGAGCTTCTCGCCCCATCCACGGTAGAGTTCTTTTCCAAGGAAGGTGTCAAGCTTGGCGACAAGTTGTCCCTGGCAAAAGAAGTGCGCGAGGTCACTGGCATTCCTTGCTCAGCGTTGCAGGGCGAACCGTTGTCCGACTTCAGTGTGAATGAGCGAATCTCATGGAATGAACACCGGGTAACGAAGATTCTGACAGACCGTGCATACTCTTTGATGGGAATCTTAGGAGTTAGTCTGTCGCCGTTCGACGGTGAGAGTCCAGCTGAGGCGATGAAACGAGTTACAGATGAGGCCGAAAAGCAAGATAAGTGCCTTTGAGACATGCACCAGACAGATCCTCGGAACGACAAGAAGCGCATTGAGGATACCAAAGGCGGTCTTCTCGCAGACTCCTACCGCTGGGTGCTTGCCAATCCTACTTTTCAGCAATGGCAACAGCGCTTGGATAGCCGACTGCTGTGGGTGAAAGGCGACCCTGGCAAGGGAAAGACGATGCTTCTGTGTGGCATCATTGACGAGCTGCACAACTCGATGCCAAGACCCGCCCTGTTGTCGTACTTCTTTTGCCAGGCGACCGACTCGCGCATCAACAGTGCTACAGCCGTGCTACGAGGCTTGCTATATATGCTTATACACCAGCAACCGTCGCTTATATCGCACGTCCGTAAGAAGTACGATCACACGGGCAAAAGTTTGTTCGAAGACGCTAATGCCTGGGTCGCCTTAGCAGAGATCTTTGCAGCTGTGCTGCGTGACATGGGCTTGGGCACGACGTACCTAATCATTGATGCGCTTGATGAATGCATGACTGATCGGCCAAAGCTACTCCGCTTCATTGCAGAGCAGTCGTCTGCGTCCTCTCGCGTCAAGTGGATCGTGTCTAGTCGCAACTGGCCGGCCATCGAGGAACGACTACAACGAGCAGAGCACGAAACGCGGCTGAGCCTTGAGCTAAACGTAGAGTCGGTTGCTGCGGCAGTTGACGTCTTTATCCAGCAAAAGGTCGACCAGTTAGCGCAAGAGGAGCAGTACGAAGAGGAACTTCGACACGCCGTGCTCCAACATTTGAAGTTGAACGCGAACGGTACCTTCCTCTGGGTAGCGTTGGTGTGCCAAAAGCTCGAAGAGACAGACAAGTGGAACGTGCTTGAAAGGCTGACCCAATTCCCCCCTGGGCTCGACTCTCTGTACGAGCGGATGCTGCAGCAGATGACTGAGTCTGATAGCGCTAACATATGCCTGCGGGCGCTGGCAGTGACTGCTGTCCTGTATCGGCCTGTCACAGTCGCTGAGTTAGTGGTGCTTACTAAGCAGCTTGCGGGACTTGTTAATGACCTTGGATCTGTGCGGAAAATTATCGGTCTTTGCGGATCGTTTCTCACTTTGCGAGAAGACACAATCTACTTTGTGCACCAGTCTGCAAAAGACTTCCTCTTTGCAAGTGCATATAAAGAGATTTTTCCACAGGGCGCTGAAGCCACTCATCACGTGATCTTCTCCAGGTCGCTCGCGATTCTATCTGAAGCGTTGCGCAGGGATATGTACAGCCTAGGGGTGTTAGGAACTGCTATTAAAGACGTTCAGCCGCCAGAGTCAGACCCGCTTGCCGCGTCACGCTACTCGTGCGTCTACTGGATCGACCATCTGTGCGACTCGAAGCCCAGGTCTTGGGCAGACGGTGTTGATGAGCTGAAAGTCGGAGGCGCCATCAATGAGTTTATAAAGAAGAAGTATCTCTACTGGCTAGAAGGGCTCAGTCTTTGCAGAAGCATAGGAAAAGGGGTAGTCTCGATGGCAAAGCTATGCTCTCTTGCTCAGGTATGGCAAACAGAGATGATGCAATCCTACAGTCCTCTCGTTACACATTCTGACTCTTCTAGGAGATGCAAAATGCGAGTGAGCTTACTAAGCTTGCGCAAGATGCCAGCCGATTCGTCATGTACCACAAAGGGGTAATTGAGAGCTACCCACTCCAAACGTATGCATCTGCGCTGCTGTTCAGTCCGACAGGGAGCGTGACTAGAAGGTTGTTCCAGCACGAGGAGCCAAAAGGAATCACTGTTAAGCCTGCGATGAGCGACAGCTGGAGTGCTTGTCTGCAGACGCTCGAGGGCCATAGCAGCTATGTCACGTCTGTAGCCTTCTCGCACGACTCGAGCAAGCTGGCGTCGGCGTCAGGCGACAAGACCGTCAAGGTGTGGGATGCGAGCAGCGGGGCGTGTCTGCAGACGCTCAACATCGGCAAGCCTCTCCACAGCCTATCCTTCGATCCCACCAACTCCTTTCTCTGTACCGAGATAGGCCCCATTGCCATACACGGCCTAGGAATTCCTAGCGAGATAGCTGTGATGGAACCTGCACGCCCTCAATATTCAGGCACAAGCCTTGGTTCTGATGGCATATGGATCAAGTACAACGGCAGGAACGTGTTGTGGATACCGTCAGACTATCGACCGTCATGCTCTGCGGTGTGCGGGAACAGAGTCAGTATAGGTGTTGGGACCGGCAGAGTGTGGACCTGCAGTGTTGACCCAGACACCCTCACGTGTATGTTAAGCAAAGTGAAGACATAAAGCAGTTGCTTTCTGCTTAAGACTGAGCTTCTAAAGTCTGCTCTTAAGTAGCTATAAGGATGTACAGAGCATAGAAGTTGCATAACAAAGTATAATTTGCACTCACAAATAGATCTTGCGCTCTATGAACTTGCTGTCTGGCCTCCAGGAGATGTAGGGAAGTCCACTCGTGGGCGCGCTTGAGATACTACAAATTAGGCACTTGCTTCGGGAAAGCCGCCAGGGTGCGCCACAGCTCGTCTCAGCGGCCAGTCTGCGGTGAGTATAGCGTGTTATTCAGTACCGTAACTTACAGCAGCCACTTCGCACGCTAACGCAGCCCCCTGCACTGTAAGCGAAGCTAGCATGTACCAGGCTGCCGGGTTGCAATTTGCAATCTTGTGTCCTGATCGGCGAAACTGCCGGACTGCACTTTTCTTTTGTTAATAACGTAGATTATCACCGAGCCGGCCATATCACCGAACCGGCCACTTTCTCTTGGCACAACTACTTTTCACTCTAACACAACATGCCTCAACAACAACAACTTCACAATACTACTAGAGAAGGCAGAGTTATCCTTGCTATCCAGTCCTTCCACGCTGGTCAATTTCGCAGTGTACGCAGCGCTGCAAGAGCGTTGAACGTACCTCATCAGCGGGTCTCTGATCGCCTTCGCAATATCACCTTTCGACCTAACGTACGCGCTAATTGCCAGAAACTTACTATACTAGAGGAGCAGACTATTGTCCGGTATATACTTGACCTTGATTCGCGAGGATTTGCGCCTCGGCTGTGTGAGGTGGCAGATATGGCTGATAAGATACTTGGTGTGCGTGGTGGAGAGCCTGTTGGCAAACTATGGGCTAGCAGGCTTGTAACGCGTTCAGACGAGCTCAAAATGGCCTTCAATCGAGCCAAGGATAGACAGAGGATACTACAGGAAGATCCTGAGATAATCAGCGCGTGGTTCAAGCTAGTGAGGATACTAAAGTCAAGTACGGCGTCTACAACGACGACGTCCACAACTTCGATGAAACTGGGTTCCAGATGGGCGTCGCTTCGTCTTCAAAGGTTGTCACAGGCTCAGAGAGACGTGCTCGACCAGAGCTTGTTCAGCCAGGCGATCGCGAGTGGGTTACTGTTATCCAGAGCATCTGCGCCGCTGGGTATGCAACCCCGCCTTTCATCATCTACAAAGGACGCGTCCACATCTCTGCTTGGTACGAGGAGACGGATATACCCCACAATTGGAAGCTCTCAGTCTCTAAGAACGGCTGGACAAACAATTCGCTTGGCCTTAAGTGGTTGAAGCACTTTGACGCGCATACAAAGACGCGTCAGGTAGGGGTGTACAGGTTGCTCATCTTGGACGGCCACGAGAGCCATCTCAACCAGGAGTTCAAGGACTATTGCCTAGAGAACAAAATCCTTACTCTCTGCATGCCACCTCACTCGTCGCACATCCTCCAGCCACTTGACGTGGTCTGTTTCTCGCCGTTGAAGCGCAAGTACTCCTAATGCGTTCGAGACTTGGCACGCCGACGCGTCTTCCACATCAACAAGGAAGGCTTCCTACCAGCCTTTAGGGACGCGTTCCTTGATGTGTTTACAGAGGTTAACTGCCAAAAGGCCTTTGAGGCATCAGGGCTTGTTCCTACTAACGCGCAGGTGGTGTTAGATCGCCTTGAAGTGCGGCTGCATACCCCACCAGCAGTACCTCTACCCGAAACGCCGTGGCAATCTAAGACACCAAGCAATACACACGAGTTTGGGTCTCAATCTAAGCTTGTAAGCGATTCCTTTCGACGATCACCAAGTGCAGCGCAAGAAGGGTTCTCAAAGCTTGTAAAAGGGGCTGAAGAGATGCTGCACGAAAACGTCCTTATCAAGGCCCGCGTACGAGAGCTTGAAGAGCAATTAGCAGTAATAACCAAGAGGAAATCGCGTAAGAGAAAGCAAATTCAGCATGGTGGCACACTTGAGTATGGCCCAGCAGCATCGTGGGTAGCTGCTGAGACGTCTGTAGCAGCTCAGCCATCTAAGAAGACTCGGGGTGGAGGTGGTCAACTAGGAGCTCAATCAACTGTTCGGCGCTGTGGGAACTGCGGCAAGACTGGACACAACGCACGAACGTGCCAGGAGGGTGTAGAAATATCTTCTGAATCTGATGCAAGCACGCAGTATGCTGGGTCACTGTTTGATAGCGAGTAGTTGTAGTTGCAGTAACTTGTGTTAATCGTGCCAAGAGAAAATGGCCGGTTCGGTGATATGGCCGGCTCGGTGATAATCTACGTTATAGCTTCTGATGCCCAGGATACAATCATCCGTGATTTCGCTTTCTACCAGACCCTCCGACCTTCGCAAAGGCCCCTTAGGCCGTGAGTAGACAGGGGGGTGTGGACGATGGGCTGATTGACGGCGTTGACGAAGCGATCAACAGCACGGTCAGCGAGGCAGCACATGTTCTCGGAAGCAAAGAGAGTGGCGAAGAGTTAACTAAACAATGCTGCATATCAACCTAAGGTCTGTAAACGAGTGTACAAGAGGATCTGAGGCCCCAAAGTACGAGCCTGTCTCGTTACACAGTGCGTCTCGGTATGTAGGGACGCACTTTAGTAAGTTTATTGGTCCGTGTTGCTGAATATCTGCCCCCATATCTCCTCTCCGTGCCTCTTTCCAAGCCATCGCTCGGTTTCCATTCCTCGTCAGTCGCGCTGCAAACTCCAGCGGCACCATCCCTTCCCCCGTCACGCAGTACAACGTCTGTACGACCTCGTGTACGAAACCATCATAGCTACGAATCCCTATGCTCTTCTGTGCATGGGAATTGTAAGGGAAAACACCCTGAGCAAACCTTCATCACTCGCTCGCTCACGCAAACCAGGGGGCAAGAGACGCTGTTGACTCGCGAAATTATCTGTTGGAGGCCCATGGGTTGCACAACACGCGCATGGACTGACGTTGACGTTGCGTCACAGTCGCATCGTCCACGTGAGTTGGTACGTGATGCAGAATGACCGCTCACCTTCAACATAACTGTTACGGTATCAATCGGACCGTACAAGACAAGACCATACCCACAACAGACTACCCTGGTCTAGTCTGTCTCAGGGCAAGCATATATTGTACTGCGGTAGCCAGATAGCAATTCAGCGCAGTTTTCTATTGCTCCCTACAGCGGCTGGCTACGCCGCGACAACAACCAACCACGCGCGATTCTATCAGATCTCCTTTCCGTCAACACCCAAAGTACCAGATGGCAAATCAAACCTGCATAATCTGTAATGGCTCCAACACCAAATTTTGCTCCTCATGCCATTCAATTTCGTATTGCTCCCAAAAATGCCAGAAAGACGACTGGCCCCTCCACAAGAAGATTTGCAAGACCTTCACTACCTTGCCATCACGCCCATCGCCTTCGCACAAACTTGCAATCCTCTTTCCAGTCAATTCGAAAGATCCACAGCTTGTTTGGATCGAATGCAAACGACATGTCGATGATGAAGACGGAATTGTATGGGACTCGCCAGATACTCAAAACCTACTGCAAATTGAGAACCTTAACCCCGAATACGGACATCCAAGACAGTTCTTAAGAATAACGCGGAGCAAGCTTCGCGAATTCAATCTCAGCCATACAGTTAAGGTTATCGGTCGAGAGACTGCTCTAATTGATGGCTCCTCGTCCAATGTTTGTGTTCAACATACCACGAAAGGGCGGATGACATACGATTGGAACGGACCAATTGTGGTCATGCGCCAGCCGAGCACTGCTGTTGACCCTTTGTTCTACGAGGATGTAAGGGCTGGTGATTTTCGAGTTGCGGTTGATTATTTTAGTAATTATTAACATCAAGTGGTTTATAATCCAGCTCATAGGTAGTCAAGACAAAATTTGATCATGCACAAACATGGATAGGGCAAGTACGGACCGCTAAACGTACCGGTAAGGTCCATCCCTTAGGTACCGTGTCCGTGCGCGTAGTGCGCGCAACAACCAAATATGGAGCCAGCAAAAATGAGGCTGTAGAGCCACATACAACTTGTAGAATTTAATAAAAACTTGGTAGAGTAAGTCTACAGGCTTGTGTGATGCTTTTGCTCCATACAAACTAATTGTATAGAGTTGCGGTGCGGCCGCTGCGCGTTGTGTGGGTGCGAGCTGGCGGATCAGGTGTCGCAGGCTTCCTGCGACTACGAGCAACACCACCACGACGCGCAGGCTTAGTTACACGTGCTGGAGCCTGTGAGGCTGTTCGATTGCCTCTTTGGGACAATTGTAGAGCTTTTTGAGCGTCGCGGGCAACCTTTTCCTGTATTCTTGCAGCTTTCCGCGCCTCAATTGCTTGACGCTCCTCTGCCTTAGCCTCTGCCTGCACTGCTTTCTCCTCCTCACGCTGCATGCGTTGTTCTTGTGCGATCTTCTCATTGTAGAGTTTATTAGCAGCTTTTAAATCCTTCATCTGTGCTTTTTGAAGCTCTTCTGCAACCCTGTTTTGCTCGTAAATCTGCTCACGGCGGCGTGCCTCTCGAAAGGCACGAGGTGACCAGAACTTTGCACCACCCCATAGGTTTTGCTCGTGTTTTTGCAAGTCCAGCGCATGCGACTTCTTGCCTCGCTTCTTCTTAATCTTAAGAGCCTCAGTAAGTCCAGTAATCTCGTGGTTGAGTAGCTCGTTTTCCGTTGCAATGTGGTGGATTACTCGTCTCATTGTAGCAGCTTCCTCTGACGTCTTATCCTTCACCAATGAGTCCATTTGCCTCACAATTGTACGCCAATCTTGACCCTCCGGATGAAGTGGAGCGTCTGCCAACAGGCTCGCGTCGTGAGACGACTTATCAGAGAAGCGGCGGAGTATAACGTCGGGATTGAGTGGGGAGATGCCTGTGGCGGAGAAGGATTGTAGTACGTTGGCTTCGGTGAACGACGATGTCCAAGCGCTCCAAAATAGTGAGAAGAAGTCACCTTTCTTCACTGGCAGTAATCCCTTGCTATCCTGCGCGCGTTGGGTGAGGTTTTTGGTGTAGTTGGTTGCCAGAGGCTTGAACATTACCACATCGAGCGGCTGCAGCGTATGAGTACTGTGGGGTGGCAAAACAGTAACCAGAATCTTCTGAGTATGACAGTAAGTAAGAAACCGCTTCGTTACATGGCTGCCGTGACCGTCGATTACTAGTAATCGCCACTTCCGTCGAGCACTGGCTTTTGTAGCGACATCAAACACCTGTTGAAGCCAGGCAATCGCCACCTCGTCGTTGCTCCAACCTGAGGAAGTTACTGCAACATACAGGTGGTGTTCCCTGGCGTCAATATCGCTCACCCAACCCGATTGAACGTTTGTTGAGTCGGCTGGGTATTTGAGAGCCGGCGGCAGTGCCAAACCAGAAGCTCCCACGCAGGCAATGAGTGTAATCTATTCCCTGTTGCCATCTTGGAGTGCCTGCTTGAACCTCCGATCGCTCAACAAGCTTTTATTGAAGATCCTCTTGACCTTTCCAGTCACTCCAATCATGAATCCCTTCTCGTCCATATTGTACGTGTGCGTTGGTTCGATAGAGTATTCGGTGATCTTGGTTTGCAGGAGGTCGAAGTACTGCTTGTACTTCTCCTTTGAATCGGCTTCGTGACGCTCAGCAGCCATAGACGTTGACCACTGTGACGTAAGCTTGTCGCGGTGACGGTGGAGGAAACGAGTAACCCAACTTTCTGAGACGGGATTTGTGACGAACGCGGAGGCGAAATTCCTTACCATTTCACGTGTAGGTGGTAAGTGTTGCCTGGTAAGCTCTTCTATATATTCGACAAGGTCTAACTCCTCCTGTGGAGTGAGTCGTTGTTGGTTGGAGTACTTGGTTTTAAGGGCCTGGGTTTCGCGTCGATACCGGCGCGTCAGCGTTGAGTGCACAACACCATGTTTTTCAGCAATTACGCCCCACGGGATCTTTTTACAAGGCATTAAAGAATCTACCTCTGCAATAGCAGCTTCCATAGTAAACGTGGTGTTGAGTTATAGCGTTAAGAAATCGCGTGTCAAAACCGCGTTCCCGCGCACCACGCGAACGGGCGCACTACGCGCACGGACACGGTACCGTGGTACACGCCGTGACGCACGGCCCCGCATGCCGCCCGCCCAACCACCCTCAGTCACTTTTCAGAAATGAGGTCATTGAGCCACGTACAATAGCTATTATTGCGAGATTCTTTGGTAGAGTAAAGTGTTGATATGCAAAACAGTGTACAGCAAAGTATTAATAGTTCTGAGTAGCGGTGCGGCCGCTGCGGGTGGTGTGGGTGCGGGCTGGCGGAGGAGGACTTGGAGCAACAGCACCGCGACGAGGCGCCACAACACGACGCTTCTTGGCTGCAGGCGTCTTAGGAGTAACTGAAGCCTTGCGCTTGCCTTTGTTAGGCAATTGGGAGGCTTTTTGAGCGTCGCGAGCTTCTTTATCTTTCTGCCTTTGCAGTTTGCGAACGTTGATTGCTGCGCGCTCTTCTGCGCGCTCTCTGTCACGAACAACTTTTGCTGCAGCAGCTGCCTCGCGCTTCTGTTCTTTGATCTTATCCTTGTATAGCTTATTGGCAGCCTTGAGCTCCTTCACTGAGGCCTTTTCAAGCTCCTCTGCATGCGCAGTCTCCTTCAGAATCCGCTCTCTGTGGCGGGCTTCCTTGAACGATCAAGGCGACCACCAGCGAGCTCCTCCCCAGTCATCTAACGTTGGCTTGACTAAATTAAGTGCTTTGCTCTTCTTATTCTGCTTCTTCTTAATCGCGAGAGACTCACTGAGCCCGTCGTTCTCGTTGCGAAGTAGCTCATTATTGACTGCAAGTGTGTGGACTTTCTGACGGAGGGCGCGCGCCTCCTCTGAGCTTTTATCCGCCACAACAGTCTAATTCGCTCATCAAACTACGTGCTGTTATACCTGATGGAGGCGGCGGAGGAGTCGACTGATCAGCAGCTCCTTCAGGAAAGCGCTTGAGTACTTTGTCGCGATTGAGCGGGTGAAGGCCTGTCGTGTCAAAGGCTTTGAGTATATTGTCTTTGGTGAATGATTGTAGCCAAGCGGGCCAAAACAATGAGAAGAAGCTACCTTTCTTCACTGGCAACAAGCCCTTAGAGCGCTGAGTCCGCTCTGTCAATTGCTGTGAGTATGCTGTCGATAGCGGCTTGAAGAGGACGACGTCGGCTGGCTGGAGCGTGTGAGTACTGTGGGGAGGAAAGATAGCTACAAGTATCTTGTTTTGATAACAGTAGGTTAGAAACGAGCGGCTTATATGGCTGCCGTGGCCGTCAATGATAAGTAACCTCCACCTTCGACGTGCGGAGGCCTTTGTTTCTTCGTCAAAGACCTGTTGCAGCCATCCAAGGCCAGCGTCGTCGTTGCTCCAGCCGCTCTGCGTGACCGTGACAAAGACTCGATGCTTGGATTGCTTGATATCTCGCACCCATGCGTCCTGGACGTTGCCGCTATCACTCGCCATGATTAGGCCTGGAGGAAGAGCGACTCTAGAAGCGCTCACGCACGCTATAAGCGTCACCCATTCTCTGTTGCCGTCCTCCAGAGCCTGGCGGAAGCGCTTGTTGCCCCAGCTTGTCCTGCTGAACACTCGTTTCTGCCTGCCTATCCTGCCAATCATGAAGCCCTTCTCATCCATATTGTATGTTTGCTCTGGCTGTATGTTCTTCTCGGCTATTTTGAGCTCTAGCATGTCAAAGTACAAGCTGTACTTGCTATGAGAATCAGCGGCGTGACGTTCAGAGGCCATGGCGGAGGTCCATCGTGGAGTGAGCGCGTCGTGATGCTTGGTGACGAATCGGGTAACCCACATCTTTCCAACGTCGAATCCGCAGATAACAGAGGCAAAGTTTTGAATCATATCGCGCGTAGGAGGAAGGTGCTCTCTACAGAGTTGATCTATGTAATCAACGAGCTCCAGCTCTTCGTGGTTAGTGAGGTTTTGTTGTTCTACCTTCTGTTGCATAGAACCCTGAACGCCTCGGTGACGCCGCGACAAAGTTGAACGATCAACACCATGCGTATCTGCAATCTTTTGGTAGCAAAGTTCACCACGCGCATTAGCTGCGCGTGCATCTCCAAGCGCGTCTTCTAAAGTCATTGCGTTGTTGAGTTATGGTGTTGAGGATAATTCGTTGTTTTGATGATTGCGTGCGGCACGCGGGGTCGTGCGTCACGGCGTGTACCACGGTAGCCTACCGTGTCTGTGCACCCAACGATCGGTAACAACCAACGATCGCTCCGAGCCTGTACAGCGATTGCAAAGTTGAGGCTACAGAGCTACGTACAAAAGTAATTATTGTGAGATTTTTTGGTGGAGTACTATATAGACCTATGCGACAAAGTTTCTTATACAAAGTTACTGATATTTGGTGGCGGTGCGGCCGCTACGGGTAGTGACAGTTGGGCGTGGTAGAGGAGGCGTCACGGCCTTGGGTTGACTACGAGCACCTACACCACGACGCGCAGGCTTCTGTTTAACTGTAGAAGATTGTGAGGTTGTACAGTTGCCTCTTTGGGACAATTTGAGAGCTTTTGCAGCGTCGCGAGCTTCCTTATCCTTACGTCTCTGCTCCTTGCGCGCATCAATGGCTGCTCGCTCCTCTGCCTTGGCTTGGTCACGCTCTTCTTTTGCCTTTGCTGCCGCTACACGCTTTTCTTCTGCAATCTTCTCGTTGTAGAGCTTATTAGCAGCAGCTAACTCCTTCATCTCTGCCTTTTTTAGCTCCTTTTCTTGTGCCTCTTGATCTTGGATAGCCATGCGAGCGCGCGCCTCACGGAAGGCCCGAGGAGACCACATCATTGCACCACCGTGATACTCCTGGTGTTGCTGCAAGTCCATCTGACTCTTGGGCTGCTTCTGACGCTTCTTCTTCTGACGCAGCTTATGACGTAAGCCATGTATCTCATCGTGGGC